AGATAGTTACAGGCCCCTCTCATTTGGGGTTTCCCATACATCCTCCTACCCACTTCAGTTTGTTCCTCTGTCCATGGCTCCTGTGCTTCTCATGCTTTTTGCCTTTTGTTGCATCCCTGTTTCTCACCCCTTGGTGTGCAAGGTGAGTGCTTGCCGCTTCTCCTTCAGGCTACATGGGTGCTGGGAGGGAAAGTGCTGGCAGCTCAGGCAAATGAGCTTCCCTACTTCCTGGCTATTGTCCCATGGAAGCTGAGCTGCGTGGGCTTAGGAGAACTGCCTACACAGGATGCAGCCCCTAACAGTGAGAGAGCCCTGCCCCAGTGCAGCACCTTTCCAACTCTCTCATGCTCAAGTGCAGCATTCTTGCCTGCATGTAGCCTCCACAGTGCAACATGTTCCAGGTTTATTCCTTATCTTTGTGACTCCATGCACAAAAACCTTGTGAACAGGGCTATAGCAGCTTCTGGCAACCAAGGGGCGCTGCCACAGGAGGAGCCCGGGCCATGGCTTTGTGGGGAACATGCACATGCAGTCTGGCTCGCATGGAACAGTGGTGTAAGGATGGAGTACACTCCTGCAGGCCAGGTTGTGGCTGCACTCCCACAGGTCTGAGCCAAGCACGTGCAGATCGGGCTGTCCAGCCCCTGCACTTGGCTGGAACTAGGGGTGTTCCCCAGGACAGCACAAGGTGCCACTCAGACCACAAGGTATTCAATATATAACAGCTTTCTTCCGGTCCCCTGGGCTTGCGCTGAGTGCCTTTGCTAGGGATCCTGTCATCTCCTCCACCTGTCCCATTGCACAGGACGAAGCCTGTGCAGCAGGGACCAGGTTACTGGCCATCGTGAGCTCTGGCTGGCTGGCTTCCCTGTGCTTGGTCCAGGTGCCCGCGTGCTGGAGAGCCAGGCACTGCAGAATTCTGCGGCCAGCTACTCACATGGCATTGGCCAGTTCCCCGTGGTGTTTATGTAGCATCCATCCCTGAGGGTCCTGCCACTGAGCAAACCTCCAGTCCATTTAGGCCTAGACATGGGCCAAAGGTTCCCCTTGTCTCTACTGGATCCCTTCCCTCTCATAGTTTCATAGTTTCATAGATTTAGGGTCGGA